TTTTAATTATCAATTCTGAAGATGGATCAAGGTATTTTATTTCACTCAGCAATTGGGGGTACCTAATTGCACCTCTTAAGATTTTAAATAATATAAATTGTTTCACATCTATCATTAAACGCTAACTATCGATCATGAAAAAGTAGAAATTTGCAACTTTTTAGAAATCGTTAATTTTGACAGATGAAACGTTCGGATTTAGTAACGTTTCAGTAGCGTTTCGATCCAACGAAGTGTCAAAATTTTAGTGGAATAAGGGCCGACGGGCCGACGATCGACTCAAGTATATGGACGTAGTTATGCAAACCAGCCACATGATGTCAGTTTTGAGAAAAATGGGTTTCTTGTTTTTAGTTATAATTTATTGTAGAATATATTTTATTTTATTTATTTATCACGAAGTTTTGTGAATTTACAACATGTGAGTTTAATTGCAACACTTTTAGGCTTCTCTGCACATAACTCGATTTTGACAGATTTGTGGGTTGGTTCCGGTTTGCATAACTACATCTATATAGTTCTATGTTCGATTGAGCGAGTAGAATACCGTTTACAGTTTCTGTCGATCGATAGTTAACTAAACTAAAATAGAACCGGAACTGTATCGTTTGACGCCATTTTGACACCGAGTAGAATAGGAAAACCACTAAAAGTTGTAGTTTCGTTCGGTTTCGTTCCGTTTTCGATTCGATTTAAACAAAATTTATTTAGTAGAATTGGCCCCCTGGCCAGTTGTCTCCATCGCCACAGTAGGGACCCAATCTTCAATCATAAGGTTCCTAAATTAGTTAAAGGAACGGAAATGACTGTCTTTGGTCCATTCGTTTCCTGCAAAAATCAACTTTTGCTAGAGCCGCCATCAAGTGGAGGTGCTTTTTTAGTGCTTTCATTTTTTTTAATACTTCCTTATTGTCAATGTTGTTCTTATAACTCAGATGAATATCAAGTTGAAATTCAATTAGTTCGAGTTAAGCAAACGCAACTCGATTAATACGAACTAATTTTTAAATAAATTCCTTTTTTATTTGTATAAAGGAAAATGGAAACTGACATAATGAAAGTGAGCATGGGGTAGATTTTTTAAAAGTTATGGAAATCAATAGAATTAATGCTGTGAAATTATTATAAGTGACATTTAACTACGATATACAATAATATCATCGTGAAATAGTTTTTATAAATAAAATACTTATGAATGGTTAAGGAGGATGGGCATTGACCCTCCACGCTGCCCCAATGCGGATTGGAGGGTAACCGGCAACCGGCATATTTATCAGTAATCGAAAATTTTTGATATTTTAATGGAAATAGACTTCATAATCTAATTAATTCACATTCCAATAAGACTCCTCTGTGTGAAATAAAACAGAAATAAAAAAGTAGCCCTTACTAAGTTTCTTGCTGGTTCTTTTCGGTACAAGGTCACCCTCCGTGGTTTTGCGAATCATTGGCATAGTTTTCGACTTTCACCAGTACTATGTAACAACCTAGACTGAATTGATTTTGATATTTATATTAATATCATTCGACGTGAGGATGCATAATGGCACATACAAATACAAGCTGAATTCTGCGCTCCACTTTTTGGTCTTCTTTCTAAAACTGAATTTGGATTAAAGTTACGAGCAATCAATAAGTTGGCTCATCACTAATGTTGACATATAAACCAAACATCGTTCCTTTACACGTAACATAATAAATAACTTAAACTTACTATTCAAATAAATTAAGATTAATTTGAAAGTTAGATAATATAATAAGATACACGAAATATGTCATTTTTATTTTTTCTGCATACATGCTTCTCAAGTCTTACCTGCAAGACCGATTGTTCCAAGTTAAGTACGAATACTGTCTGTCCCAATGCTACCAAATAGAAGCTGGAGTACCACAGGGATCTGTTCTCGGGCCTATACTATATACAGTATACACTGCTGATCTGCCTACTTCCAATCAAGTCATCACCGCAACTTATGTAGACGATACTGCTGTTTTGTCTTGTGATAGATGTCCTGTAACTGCATCGCTAAAACTTCAAAGACAACTTGATGTTATAAAACTGTTGTTAAAAAAGTGGAGTATAAAAGCAAGTACCACAAAATCTATCCACTTTTAGTTTGAAAAGAGCTAGCTGTCCACTAGTGACATTTGGTGGAAGTATTTTATCACAACAAAACACGGTCAAATATCTAGGTATGCCAGAAGGAAGGAAGGGTTGGACAGAAGGCTTACTTGGCACGAACTCATAAAAAATAAAAGAGGGCAGGCTAACAGAAAATTCATGGAGATGTATCGGCTGGTTGGGCGGGGACCTTCATTTAGTCTGGAGAATAAAATCTTAATTTATAAATCCATTAAAAAACCTTTAAGGACATATGGTGTAGAGCTCTGGGGATCTGCAAGTCACTCCAACATAGAAATACTGCAACGCATTCAAAATAAAGCATTAAAGACACTAAGCAGTGCAATATGGTTAACAATTCCTTGTTAACGTTATTGCACTGCTGTAAGTATTCATGTGTGTACACTGAAGTACATCAATAATTACAGATTTCAACCGTCAAGGACGATATAGAAAGATATGGCCTATAAACAAAGGCTACAGCATCATAGAAACCAGCTTTCTGTAATGCTGTTTGTAGGGACACATATGCCTACATGTACATGTACAGTTTAGTTGTAAGATGTTTATAAACAATTTGTTAGCGTCTGTAGAACAAAGACTTTTTAACTAGTCGCTAATATACGGAGTTACAGAGTGAACGTGTTTTCTTATTTAACCTTCTGATCTAGCGAATTAAATAGTTATAAGAGTATATTCATAAGAAATGACGTATTTCGTAAATCTTTGCAACCTCCTTATGATGGCCCTTACGACGTTGTAAGTCGGAAAGGCAAAACTTTCGATATTAAAATAGGAGATAAGACGAAAACTATTTCAATAGAACGATTAAAACCAGCATTTTTTATAAATAGTGATAAAGATTTTAGTTATAGTTCGAATTTTAATAAGAGTAACGATTCTAGTTTAGATAACGAGGTCACTTCCAGTAAAGCTCTACAGCCGAGAACTACGCGCAGTGGCCGCGTTATCAATATACCCGTACGTTTTACAGCATGACGTAATACATACGTACCTATAGCGTAGCTAGTCGAACGGACGAAGCATAGAGAACAGTATACGAAATACGAAGCAAGCGGAAGTCTTTGTAAATTAAGTAATAGGTAGTGCTGTTCTCAAGATTTCAATTTCATCGATATAGCTCTAGAAATAATAACAGTGGGTACTGATTTAAACAAAGAACTTTTGTCAACCAATTTTTGTACTCAGCTTACAAGATCGCCGCGTTCCCACAATTTGTTAATGTAAATATTACTCATTTGTTAATGTAAACAAATCGATACGATACGTGAATAGTAGTGAATAAGTAGCATAGTGAATATTAGGTTTAGTGATTGTGGAAATTATAGGTTCAATTCCATGTTCAACATGTATGTAGAGTATAATAAATGTAATTTTAGATTGGTTAGGATTTAGATACTATTAAACAGTAATTTTGTTTAGTAATAAACTTTTGATAGGAAACATGTAATTTAATTTGTTTACTAATAAGTAAGAATTTGTATTCGATAAAAATTAAATGTTTTATATGACATATTATTTTATATTTACTTTAATTACTTGTCATTTATTTAAAAATTGTTTATATTATTTTTATTGTTCTTTATTGTATTGTTCTTTTACATTTCTTACAATATGTGATGTGTACTTTTATTTTTTATTGTAAGAGGGGGAGTACTGTAGGGACACATATGCCTACATGTACATGTACAGTTTAGTTGTAAGATGTTTATAAACAATTTGTTAGCGTCTGTAGAACAAAGACTTTTTAACTAGTCGCTAATATACGGAGTTACAGAGTGAACGTGTTTTCTTATTTAACCTTCTGATAACATAAATAGGGTCCGACACTTAATACCCTAAACTGTTAGATAATAAAATATCTGCCTTCTGGCTAAAAAGAAAGAGAATAACTTGTCAAAAATAATCGCAAAAAATCTGATTAAAGCTGCTGGGCTGTTTGTAGATGGATAAATAAAAAATATATATATTTATTAATTTTCCATACTCAATTTACTTTTATTACGTCAGAAACAAAACTTTTGAATGAATCAATATCCATTACGAGTGATATCTTGTATGCTTTGAAGAACGAAATTTTTATTTTTTAAATACTCCCTTATTGTTATTCATTGTATGGTTTTTACAAAAACATAAATAAATTAAGTTGTTTTTCATATTTAATATCAATTCATGTAACGATTTTACTACACTTCGATTTTTCAATCAACTCATTGATTAATAAATTTCTGATTTCCATCTCCCTAATCCCTACCTACGTTTCGTTTGTTGACAAATGTCAAGTTAGTCGAACGCATAATATAATTTCGTCGTTACTCACGAGATGGCGCTGAGACGAAATAAAGCTGATGACTCTATATCCTACTATAATATATAAGTTACTTTATGGTCGTACGGTCGAATGACAAATGAATGAGCGTCGGTCGTTGCATTCGTTTCCTCCATAATAAATAAGTTTGCTATTCTTTGCCGTTGTTTTTCATGTGGATTAGTATTTTGCATTTGTACTTAATTTTAAGGAATTGCCATGGCAGGTCAGTTAATTGTCGTTTTCATATTACAGCTTTCCTATAAATACACACACATGCGATTTTCGCTATTTATGTTGGATATTGTAAACCGCTAATCCTTTTTATGAAAATAAATAACCATTATTTATCAAACTTATGTTTTTGATACAAATACATATCTGAATGTATAAATAATTATATTTATGTTTTATGTTGCAGTCCGAGACATAAACAATTTTATTTCTTAACCTGAAACGTCAAACAAAATCAATGCACTCTGCTTATATACTGTTTTAAATTATGTTATATTGATATCTACTGTTTGATATTATAAAATAAGTTTTTCTATTGCAGACAAATTAACCTTAGACCGGCAGGCTATGAAAGATAGATCAACATCTCATCTGAGAATATATGTTGGTGGTTTGACAGATAAAACTACTGTGGATGATTTGTATGAGCATTTTATACAATATGGTCAAATAAATGGTATAATTGTTAACAAAAACTTTGGCTTTGTCCAATTTGATGTAGAACAAAGTGCTCAGAATGCAATTTCCAAAGCAAACGGAAGTAACTTAAAAGGAAGAGCAATTAGTGTAAGAACAGCACAGACAAATCCAGATAAAAGGTTAGTTATTATTTATACAGTACAGTTATTTACATGATTTATGATTCTATAAATTTGAAATGGTTTATTTTAAAAGACTTAAACTCATTCTTAGTATTTTACCTTTCCTTTCTTTTTTAAGTTCAAAAAGCTACAGTATTTATCTATAAATTGCACTCACTTGATTTTAAGCAGGCTACCATATAAATAATTAGCTGTATTCTAAATCATAGACTATATCACCCACATATCAAATGGCTTCCCATTGTTGAAAGAATTTTTAAAATCAGTCCAGAAGATACTGATTCTACTCAATGCCAACAAATAATAAAATTTTAATAGTCTTAGTCTGAAATGTTATTCTGACCGTACATTTAAAAATTCAGCATGCACAGGCTCTTAAAGTGTTATATATCAATTATGTATGAAGAGATTTGGCAGTTTTAGATTCAATTCAATTCAATTTCTTCGTTATTGGCTCTTCTATGATTTAGCCAGCATCAGGTATCCATTAGCAATGGTGTTTTTATTTGTTCGGTTGGACTCTGCTTGTTATCCACTACTCTGCTGGTAATGTAACCGGGCGTTATGCAAGTACAAGGGCGGGAGGTGGAAGCAAACAAACAGTAAACATAAAAGGAGAAAAATATGTTTTTTAAAATCTTAAGTTGAGGTACCTGAAACAATGGCAAAGCATTCTTGTTAGGGCCTTAGTAAAGAAGCATTATTTATCTAGCTGTTACAGTTTAATATTATTACTATCTATGTACGAACACAGGACGTTTACAAAATCAGTGTACACCAATGGCAATAGGGACTTAAAATTTGTTGGACGAGGGACGAATAATGGAAGGGAGTTGTATAAGGATGAACTATTTTTAGAGCATTTGAAAAATATATGATCTGTAGTACCCTCGTCGAGACCACATTCGCATAGGGAACTGTCCTTCACCCTGATCTTGGCTAGAAATACCGGAGTGCATACATGACCCAATCTAAGTCTGGCTATGGTAGAAATTACTTGTTTTTTGACATTACGAATTTTGCTGAACCATGGGGTACACGGAATATCCGATTGAATGCTGGCGTAATGAAGTCCTTTTGATGAGGAGGTCTTTTTCCAATCTTTGGTCCATACAGACAGTAGATCCTTCCTTGCCATAGCGGCTAAATCGTTAGGGTATATGCCACTGTGAGAAAGACAACCATTAACTGTAGCTTGCTTGGCGCATGCGTCTGCTGTCTCATTACCGCTAATACCTGTGTGCCCTGGGACCCACACCAGGACAATTTGTAGATCTTGTCGATGACATTCATACAAAATAGTTTTAATTCTTAAAATATATTGGAATTTAAATCTGCAACGAAACTGATTAGATTCGATGGCCTGCAAACAACTTTTTGAGTCCGAAAATATAACTACTCTATTGAGCTTATGGGATTGTATAAATTTCAAAGCTTCTAATATGGCAATAGCTTCACCTGAAAAAACTGAAGAGGACGAGGGACATTTAAAGTTTAGTATAATTTTATATTTTGGGATCCAGACCGCTGAACCAACATGTTCATCATCTGATAATTTTGATGCGTCAGTATATATTGAAAGCCAATCAGCCCATTTCTCCGACATTAATTGGTTAAATTTTGCTTGAGCATCCACAGCATTTTTATCTATATTTAGATCTAATATTATTTTCGGTTGGTAAATTAAAGCCTGGTATGGAGTTTCAAATAGGGGATTTAGTCTACATTGGTAAACAGGAGAGGGGAGGTGGATTAGTTTTCTATAACTAACCAATAAACAGGGAAGATTTTTGTGGGACCAGTATTCATTCGAAGGGACCAACTGGTGTAATAGATGAAGCTTGTCGATCAAAGGGTGTGATGAGCATTGGTAGGCCTTAAAAATAAATTTGTCCGACAAATACTGGCGACGGAGTTCTAGGGGGGGTTCTACACATTCCACCTGCATAGCATTTATGGGGGATGACTTCATGGCACCAAGAATGATTCGGAGGCATTTTGCTTGAATTTTATCTAAAGATTTTAAAGAAACTTTGCTGCATGGTTCTAAGAGAAGGGTTCCATAATCTAATAGGCTTCTAATGAGAGAGTTATAAAGCATTCTTTGCGTGATTGGGTGGGCTCCCCACCAGACGCCTGACAGAGCTCTGAGGATATTCAGATTTTTCTCACATTTCCTTGTGATGTAATTTATATGTTGAACACCCGACATTTTTGTATCCAAAAACATACCCAAGAATTTTACTTTGTTTTCTATGGGGAAGGATTGACCATCACAGGAGATATCTAACTGTGGAATGCTCCTAGATCTAGTAAAACATACCACACTGCTTTTGGGGATAGATAGGGATAAACCGTGATCTGAGAGCCAGTTGTTTAGGTAGAAGATTGCAGAGTTGAGTCTGCCACTTGCATCCTGAATATTATCAACCTCTAAATACAAAGCAAGATCATCTGCATATTGGAGAATATTACAAAATGAGTTAACTGAGAGGTCTAAATCATGGGTGTAAATACTATATAATAAGGGACTGAGGACCGATCCCTGAGGGAGGCCTTTCCACACCCTTCTAGAGGAAGAATTAGAATTTTGGTAATTAATAAGAATTGATCTTTCTGAAAGGCTATTAAAAATGAAGTTATGTATCTTCTCAGGGATGTTCAGCTGTTGCATCTTCTGCCTGAGCACCAGGAGAAGAACATTATCGTAGGCGGATGCAACGTCGAGAAATACGCCTACTACTGATTTTCGTTTGGAGAAAGCAATACGGATGTCGGTGACAAGGGTACTGAGACTGTCCATAGTACTTAATCCTTTCCGAAAACCAAACTGTGTTTTTGCAAGGCTGTTATTGTTCTCCAAATACCACTCCAATCTATTTTTGATGAGGTGTTCTAATATTTTACACATTGTGTTAGATAGAGCGATAGGACGATAACTAGATGGGTCGTTACTCGGTTTGCCTGTCTTTAAGATTGGGATAATAATCTGTGTCTTCCATTCATCAGGTGGAGTACCTCTATTGAAGATTGTATTGATTGTCTTTAGAAAGAAAAGCTTGGTATCCTTTCCGCTTTTGGCGACAAAGGAGTAAGGGATTCCATCTACTCCTGGAGAGGAGTCCTCTAAACCAGATAACACTAAGGACAGCTCTTCTAAAGAAAAAGATGTCTCTAAATTTGACGAGGATGTTTTAGTTGAAGGGAGGTTGACAATCTCTTCCAATAACGGGGCAGATGGAGGGGCAATTTTGTGGATAAAGGGTATTAACCAAGGAGATGGGTCTGTAGAAGTGTTGTGATGGTACATATTAGATATCGACCCGCGAAACCTTTTAATATTTTTCCATACAAGTGTGGAGGGAGTCTTTGGTGAAAGAGTTGAGCAAAATTTGGACCAGCCTGTGTTTTAGATACCTTTCCCCATCTATATAAAAATTGAAATGTTTAATCTGATCAAATGAATCGGAACTATCAGATGAAACCACAGCTAGATTTATTTTTCTCCAAAAAGTGTTAATAAATAAAAGAAAGTTATTTTAAAACATAAATTACATAGTTATTGTTTACATACAAATTAGCCAACTGGTAAAGCCATCCCATTTTTTAAGAATTTATTATTTTCCCTTAATAAATGATATGGGAAGGTTCCCACTTTACATCCATCTTCTTAAATTAAATGGCTGGTTCCAAAGTTAATACAGAAAACTAACACTTATATGTGTTATACATATCAAATTAATTGATTATGAATTAGGGCTGTAGCAAATCATATGTATTCGGTACTGAGTAACGGGTGCGCCGTCTAGTACTGAGTAACGAAACGTTACTAATGAATACACTTTGTTACTCGCATTTTCGTGTGTAGCCACCTATACTGTTTCAGTTTACGCACTAGTGCCGTTGATGCAGGTATCAAATCACCTGTTGATCGTATGTTTTACATTGTCCGTCTACCAATATTACGCAATACGCATGCGCCCATTGCGCGCCATTATTTGATGAGTTTAAAATGTATGTTACAAAAAACAATGTTTGTTTTAGAAAAATTTGGAAATTAGTCATCTAAGTATTTTACTGTTGACTAAAAGTATTGTGTGTTTATACAAAGTTTGAGATTGGTACAGAAACATGGTAAGAAAGTATTAATTACAGAATAGAAATAGGTATATGGTTTGATTTACTTTATTGTGTATTTTCTTTTTTTTTTATTCTTATCCTTTGAGAGTTTTTATGATTGAGACACTTGGGTTTTAACTATTTATTGCATGAGGCAATATCTAGAAGAACGCATTATTTTTTTATACCCCAAACTTTCAAACATGTCTGAGAAATATTTATCAGTGATGACTACTTCGTTACCATCTGAAAGGATTTTTTCCAAATCGGGCCAAATATTAGGTGAGAGGCGTAGCTCTATTCAATCAACACGAATGGAAAATATTTTATTTTTAAATATGTACTAGAGATTCCTGCCCTAAAATGTGTAATTTTATTATAAATAAATGATTTTCTACTCCCGTTTGCTGCTTTTGAATAATAATATTTTTCTGTAAGTTTCTACCAATAACGAATGTTGCGATATCATACTGTTCGATTCGAATCGTTGCTCTTATATAAATATGAGGTATTAAAAGTAAGGAGTAACGTAACAATACGAAAGTGACAAGTAATGATTTCTAGAGTAACGAATACATACGGGTACAGTTTTATTCATTACTTTTACAGCTCTTTTATGAAGTCACATTCTTTAAAATAATTATATTTTATATACAATTATTATTCTTATTAAATACAGCAGACAGACGGAAGTTGTCACGGTACAGTCTAGTATACCACCAGCTGTGGCCCTGTCAGACAACTTACCTGTGGTGAATGATGATGCAGCTGCTGATGAACCTTACGACAGTTATGGCAACTTCAAAGGAGACCAGAGTAAGATCAAGATTGCTCATTATCTTTTTAAAGTAATATTTTAAAATAACAATTCGACCTTCAATACATTAATTTAGATTATAAAGATATACAAAAATTGATTTTGCTTCACCAAAGATGATGTTAATTTTCTCAGACATTTAAAAAGCGCAGGATAGTAAATTAATATTATAATAGTTATGTTATGTTATGGATGGAAATTCGAAACTATAAAGCTGTACCAAAACCACCCTAGCCATTCTAAAAAAAATTATATTCTACGTTGACCCAATATAGAATACGTCCTCAGCGGACGAACAAAGGCTGATGATAATGATGATTGACCCAATTAGGAAATAGGTTAAGATCTCAAAGATGACAACATCATGAAAGTGATTTAGATGCACAATAACCTAAATTATGAGAGCCATAAAGTTCATTTTTGTCATTGCTCTTGCCCAGATGAGTTCCCAGGAGATACCATAAGACTGAGCGTTTAGACAAAACGACAAACGAAAACGAAGCGAGATCAACATGTCCTTAATGAGATATATTATTCATTGGTTGTTGTTCATTGTAAAGGAATAGTGAATGTGTTTAATTAAAAAAGGGGTTAAATATTTAAGTAAATATTTTATTATTATCATTTAGTTGTCGTCAGTAAAATAATTATTAAATAGTGCTAAAACAAGATACTCAAACTCCTATTTGTTAGAGCGGCTGCAAGTCTTCCAAAAGTGATGTCATTGTTATGAAAACTAAACTTCAAAGCATATTACGTAGCAAAATAAACTACAGAATAATTGAAGTTGTATTAAGCATTTATTTTAAATTCGTTTGTATTAGTTGTTAATCAAATTTGAGTAATTAAATAATAATCAATACTAAAAATCGATTTTGATTCACAATATCATATCTCTAGTATGGATGATACGATACATACCGTATTGGTCATGAGGTATCGATACCTAATTATGTAACAAGTACGAACTTGTTAAAAACTTGCTAAAAATGTGCAGATTTAGGGAATCTGATACTATTGATGAAATGTCTAATATCTGCTTTAGGTTATGGAGAAGAAAACTACGAAGATAACTACAATCAGAGCTGGGAAGGTAGAGAATCGACGCGCGGTGGTAGAGGTCGCGGCGCGCCTCGTGGTAGAGGTCGGGGGGGTAGAGGCCGTGGCGGTCCTGGGTTCAGGGATCGCTCGCCGATACCTGGTAGAGGTGATAATTATCAATTATATAATTATTTTAATCCACCACATGGCGCGCGCAACTAAAAGGAGCTTGATGGCGCAGTGGTTAGCGTATTCGGTCTGCGATATGATTGTTATACTACTCTCGCAAGAGCCGGTCATAGGATGAGTGACCAATATGCAATGAGTTTTTGAAATCAACAACGGTTATTTTTTATTTAACATAGTTTAATAGTGTTGTTGAATATGCCGCTAGATTTTTTAAAAACAACAAATATGATTTTCTGTTTAGTGATTGATTTACCAGTTGAGTAGGTTGATGTCTGAGGTCTTAGCAATTTGTAACACACATTGTTTATAAGCGCAAGACACAAACTTAAAGATTTTGTTTTTTGGTTATTAATAGCAGCAACAAAATAAATATTTCACTGACTGAACATGTATAATGGATTATTAGTTTTGAAAATCTGTTGTTTGAAAATATATTTTAATTGTTATTATTTTATACACAGGTGGATTTGACCGCTTCTCACACCAAGATTACTCTAGACCTATTTCCGTCACAGAGAGGAATGATTGTGAAATCATAGTTGTGTCCAAATCGTTGACGTAAGTTTGACTTCTGTTAATATTTTAATTATACTTACGCTAAGAGTTACTTAAATTAGGTATAGTACTTATTGTAAATTCACCATACTTTAGTTTTTGTTTAAGATAAATAAATAAACCATATCTCATTATGCGTTAGTGGCACTTATCCGTAATTTTCATATTTAATTTCATTCATGATAAATGTACTATTGGTTTGGTTTGAGTTATCCGTCAATGGTGAAACTAAATGACGTTATCAGCACATAAGCTGAAATATAAGTGCTTGAAAATTTCGATGGTCCTGTTGTGTCTGGATTGCGAAAGGTCATGGGTTCGAGTCCCATCTCAGATTGTATTTTATAAGCATTTTTCATTAAAAACAACTATATTTAAAATGAGCCATCCATAAGAAAACAGAAGCGATAATATAATAGTCACAGACAGACGTACGTGATGTCGTTGCTATCGGTACTCAGAGGGACTGCCTGGAGGTGGTAAGCAAACTTTTATTGCGGGATTTTAAATAAGTTTATATTTTTATAGTGAATATGCAGAATATATAGAGAGTAGACTGAAACATCTCGGAATAGTTGTCGATCTACTATTCCCAATGGAAGATGTCCCGATTGGCAAAGTATTGGGCAACATAGCGTCCAGAGGCTGTCTGTACGCCATTCTAGTTATGCCTCAGAACCAAGAGCACAGGTCATTGACATTGACCATATTACATGGTTTACCTCAAGGTGAGTTCCTTTATTTTTAATCAACTTCAGATGTTAAGACATAATATGACATACTTTTGTTTGTCCTAATTATATACACGTTTATTTCTGTAATAATGTATATGACTCCAAAAACATACATTTAAAAACTTATATATTTCGCCCGCTTCGATCGTTCGACTCTTTTTATTTCTGGTCATAGTTCTTAACCTAATGGATTTGATGGATGTTTTCAAAACTAGGCTATCATTATGTGAATGATAATTGAATTCTAAAAAACTAGCGACAAACAATTAGGTATGCGAAACGTTAATGCTAAAATATATATTAAGATAAAGAATATTGTGCTAAAAGAGGGGAAATCCTTATTTTGTGAAGTTATTAGATTTTTTTTTACTGTATGACCATTAAGAAGTATTGTAAAATTGCCTCTTGTGATGTTAAAATCTAATATATTTTAATTGTCTCACAAAAACAACGATAAATAGTAAACTTGCAATATTAGATTAAATCAAACCATAATAATTTGTTTCCTTTAATTTTGACATAATTTTAAATTCAGCTAGATGGAAATATAATATGTTCTTTCAGAGCATCGCAACATGCCTTTAGAAGATGCGTTGCAGTTGTTATCCAGAAATTTCCAAGAGGTACAAAGAGGTGGACCTTCAGGCCGGGAGGCAGTATACGCGTTACTAGGTCAGCTGGCCGACGGCAGAACGCTTACAGTGCTACAGTATGAGAAAGTCATTGAATATTTACAGGTACATTTGAATTAATTATTTTATTAGCAATTGAAATTTTTGAATAGTATTTTATTATTATATTAATAGTATTATATTAATTATTTTATTAGCAATTGAAATTTTTGAAGTCGAAAAAATTGACAATATTAGTTTTTCCAATACGGTATATCGTGAATATTCGTTTACGCAGACCAGACCTATCAATTTACTTGACAGCTATAACAATGAATAATTAATTGGAAACTTACAAGTTATTTTTTTTTAATTGTAAGTTTATTTTTTTTGCAAAATTAACTTGTGTTATATAAAATGTGGATTACAAGAACCGTGACGGAGCATTGTGATGTCACATTTCAATCAAACGTTAACGTCTTTATTGCGGGTGCAACCAGTACTCATGTTTATTGTAATGTGACGTCACCGCTCGAAATGTCACGTAATTGAATCTGAGAGTGGTTTAATAAATTTATTAAATACTTTTCAAAAACCGTCAAGTAGCCAATTATGATTATGACCAATTGTATCAATGACACGTCAGATTATACAAATCTGTCAAAAGAGATTGCCTTTATCCATACCATATTGCATCACGGGTACACTATTTCCAAAAAATAATGTTTTATTCATACATATAAATAATACATTATTTACCGCTAGTTTATAACCCACATTTTTGAACGCATTAAAAAGTGATAATAATTATTTAACAATTCACTTATTTCCTTAAAAAAATGCATATCCGGAAAATAACTATTCAATACTATTACTAGTCTTAGTTCACAAGTGCATAATTATAGTGTAAAATAATAATAATTTAATGATTTTAATATTTTATTTTTAGTAATATTTTATTATAGTTTTATTTTATCTAATTAAGAAATAAAATACATTGCGTATTTTATTAGAAAATCAAAACAGCTTAATGGACTCCAAAATTTGGAACTGTCAAGTCAGTCTATCGACATTCATTTCCATACTTTTCTCTTTGTTTGTTACGTATATACATACTTTAATCTTTGGACATTTATGTCGGTTGATTCATGATCAATCACATGATGCATTTGAGTTTTACTGCTATTTATATTAATGAATAAAACTATGGACGAATGACTATATTTAGATAGTTACATTTGTATTGTATCGAGATAGTCACTCTGAAGTGATTTGCTGTGTTAAGACAATGGTGCCTGTTTATTTGTTAAAAATTAATATAAAAGTTAAAAATTAATATTGTGAAAATTCACTTCTTAAGTGCGGTCTTTAACGCTTTTCTATATAAATAATAAATAGAGGTAATAATCACTTAATTATAATTTTTTTAATATATAAAAAATGCGGTGGTAGTGAAAAGTTCAATAAAAACTTTTCCCGCTGAGAGTAAATTTAGGTTGACACAAGTTGGTACACATCCCCATACAAAAAAGGGCATTCCCCACTCGATTTTAAACTTTATCATGTTGTAGTTAGAATTTGTGGTTACCTGACGTGCAGTCGCCTAAATGTTTAAATTGAAAAAAAAAATACTTGCCTGGTTTATACAATATTGTCTTTTTCACATTTTAAGTATCAACAGTCATAGTTAGTAAATCTGACAAACGAAAATTCACCATATTAGTTGGACCATATCACTTTACTTATAGTTTGGGGTCTCTAGCAATACTGATGATGACAGGGTAAAAAAAAATAGCAGGTTAAAATTTCATTTTTTCATATTTACTTAGAATGGAACTGATGATTTAAAGAAATATCCAAGGAATTGTTATTTTTCGTATTTGTATAGTGGTAAGTCACATATTTTGTTTAAAGGCGGATTTTTTACCCAGGTTAGAGTAAAATCTGGGTAAAAAAGAATTTACAGGTTTATTATTGTTTGACAAAAGTTTTGAGTCGTTACATTTTCCGTTTAGGATTCCGTGCAAAAAAGTTAAATCTGCCATCTTTCGACGTTTGCTTAATCCAATTAGTAGTATTAAGGTCTATCGTCATAATTCTGTTGTGGTTCTATACCATGGTACATCCAAGACAGATGACAAGTAAAAGATCGCTAAATAATATCCATTTAATCTCATTTAGAATATTTATTGAATCCGTCAGTCAGATAATAGAAAATATTAGTTACGTATAATTAATGATTTAGATAATAGGGATTAAAGTTGAGTGGGGGATGGCTATGTCCCCATACATATGAACAAAGATGTGACATCGTGCGACATTTAAACTCAATGTATAGCCATAATTTACTGATAACGAAAAAAAAGTTTTAATATTCTTCAATAATCTACCCGACGGAGAAAAACAAATTCGTCATACTATAAGTTAAATTTTTTTTAATACCCAGGAACGTAAAGAACAGCAAGTTAAAATTGAACTCGGCGAACCTCTCACCCCGGCTCCGGCTAACAAGAAAGCTGAAGTGGATTTGCAGCAAAGGATCTTGAGCATCTTGAACGATAAGAAAGTAGCACCAAGTGAACCATCACCAGTTCCAGCTCCAGTTCCGGCGCCAGCGATCGCACAGAATAAGCTGCTCAATGATCCTACAGTCAGAAAAGCTCTAGATTCGATTCTTCAAAATTTCACATAGACGATATTTTTAACTAACATTAGTGTAAAATCAACAATACATTAGATTATGCAAAACTCAAAGGGTTTAGCCGGATACGTATGACGAGTCGGCCCCCAAATGGGAATCGATATTGAAACTTATGTTTTAATATCGACTTGATGTTCAAACACGATTTATGTACTTTTCGCGACCGTCTTCCGCTTTGACCTTGAGATAGAGAGCAAAATATCCGTATGCTTGACTATTACTGAATGTGATATATCTCTAAAGCTAATTAAGATAAAGAAGTGAAACTAACGCGAGGTGTTAGGTTACATTACAGAGTATATCACATATATTTTTTTATAATTTTTAGAATAAAAAAATTACATTAAAAAAATAAAAAATAAAAAAACATGTTTTTTTTCTGAGTTCTCTGTGACTTACAATCACGAAATTAATATATGTTATGCTCCTTTGTGTGCTCTATCACCCATAAAAATTGCGTGAAAAAAAAGTTGGTGCAACACAACGAAAAAAAATTATATGTGATTCGCGCCTTGTAGTGTGAGTGTATAAACAAACAAGTTCGAACTTGTTATCGAGTTGTTTACTGCATCGTTTGTTTAGCTAAAGTAGCAGTCATTTGTATTACACAAGAAGGCAGTTTGGGACTCAAATTCTGTCATAGGTATTTTGTATCAGCATTTTGAAATTATTAACTATCGAACCAAATCAAATCGAATCGAACCAAGTCGAGAAAGTGTAAAAATTGTAACAAGTACCTGTGTAAGATTCCTGGTTATAAAAAAATTATAAAGAATGAAGAAGAAGCTAAAGTGTTTAGTGACTGTTTGAATAAAATCGTAATAGTTAATGATATTTTATGTAAGAAGTGTCGACTTATCCCATATATTAACAAAAAAGCTTCTACTTCTAAATGTTCAGCATTTAACTTGGCCGAAATAATGGACGATCAAAATAATCTCTCAGTACAAGATGTGAAATCAGCACCTAATATCATCAAAGCAGAAGTAAAATCAAGACATATAAATAGAAAAGTCTATCGAATTTACATTCACTATATTTCCGAAGGTAATGACTACAATAGTATTCTTCGTTATTGCTGTGATTGCCCCAATGGCGAACGTACAGTGGGATGCTGTTCTCATGTAGCAGCTATTATTTATTATCTATTATATGGATGATATTTGTCCAAAATCGTACGTCCTGCTGAGGTCCTAACTAAGTTATTTGCGACTTAAAGTGTTCCGATTGTAATTAATTACAACAGTGACGATGATTAATATTTTGTTTCTTGTATTTTGATTGACACGAAAAAGTAATAATAATAAGTATTGAACACTGGCTGTTTTTTTTTCATTTCTTTTTTAACTATTATCCCATCTCTTAGGACTAGTTACTTATGTTTTAAAACAAGCTGATGTGAAATTTCGAAAAAAAAACAATGATGTAATGTGAAAACCTTATAATACAGGGGTATGCCATAAGACAGAAATCACATATAATTTTTTTTCGTTGTGTTGCACCAACTTTTTTTTCACGCAATTTTTATGGGTAATAGAGCACACAAAGGAGCATAACATATATTAATTTCGTGATTGTAAGTCACAGAGAACTCAGAAAAAAAAACATGTTTTATTTATTTTTTATTTTTTTTATGTAATTTTTTATTCTAAAAATTATAAAAAAATATATGTGATATACTCTGTAATGTAACCTAACACCTCGCGTTAGTTTCACTTCTTTATCTTAATTAGCTTTAGAGATATATCACATTCAGTAATAGTCAAGCATACGGATATTTTGCTCTCTATCTCAAGGTCAAAGCGGAAGTCGGTCGCGAAAAGTACATAAATCGTGTTTGAACATCAAGTCTATATTAAAACATAAGTTTCAATATCGATTCCCATTTGGGGGCCGACTCGTCATACGTATCCGGCTAAACCCTTTCTCCACTTGATTTTAAACTCGAGATGTATCAATACGCACTTCGTCTCATAATAACCCGATATTTATAATAAAGTATCGCCGATACGATACCGATATGGACAGTTAATATTTAAAGAAAGGTATAAAACTAAGAAAAATTAAAGAGCAACTAGCGAAATGGGCTATGAAGATGGACAGTGCCACTTAAAGAAAGAATATAACATGGGGAATCCCCGTAGACGAATTGTGTTGCGTTTACATGAACAAATTAATCGCGGCGATTGCGCGTTCACATGAGTTATGTGTAGCACGCGAAATTCAAAATGTATTCAATACATCGGAAAAATTGCAATATCGGTATCGGATGCATCATTTTAAACTTTAATACGTACGAAGGAAACGTTCAAAATCAATTGCTGATATTTGAAATATTGTGCTAATCTGACATGTAGTCGTGTGTAATATGGACTAAATAGATTGAGACAGATTTTTTTTCTGTCGCCATCTATCTTGTAAGTTTTCTCAGGCACCGGCAGGCAGACAGGTGGATTTATAAATTATATGTCTATTTTATCTTTAATCTTATACAAGATCTAAGCAACATTGTGAATGCATTTATCAAGAATGGTATGGTCAAGTGTAAATAAACATAATCTGCAATGAGAAAATGTTTCAATTGTGTATTTCTCTGTTCATCGATAAACTAAGAAAATCTCTTAACTCTATTCATCTAAAAAGTCTTACTTTAATTATATTCCGTAGGGCACTATCAATTTACTTTACGGACTATTATGTACGAAAGGCGTAGATGTCTTTTCGTCAGCTTTTTAAATGTTGTAAATTACACCTCAATGAGAACTTCATGAAGCTTAAATATCAATGCCCTTATGTTCTAATTTATATGAGTTTGGAGAGTCTTTTCGCGTATAGTATGCATAAACTTTTAATATAAAATATTTATGACTATACCATTTGTATCTGGTTTCAGTAACATTAAAGAGTTTAAATTATAAAAAAGATAACTCCGTATTCAAATTAGGAAAATGTGTGGTTTTTTTTTTTACTGTCAATGTAAGTGAATCTAATGAAGAAATTCTATACGTTCTAACAATTTAGAAAAAAAAGGTAAAATACTGGTACACAAAAAAGTTGGATATTTGGGTACCTCACGAGCTCACTGAAAGATACCTAATATACTGTACTCATTTGTGTTTCTATATTAGAGTGTAATGAAACCGAATCATTTTTGATGAAGTTGATAACTGGTGATGAGAAGTAGATTATGTACAAGAAAAAAGGTCGTGGTCAACGGTCGGTTAGGCTGCACAACACGCAACAAGGTAATGCTGTGTGTATAGTGGGATTGGAAAAGCATTATTCATTATGAACTGTTATCGCCAGCCAGGACCATCGATTATGAACTCTACTGCAAACAACTGATGAGATTAAAGCGAGAAGTTGAGAGAAAGCAGCCAGAATTAATCAATAAAGGCTTTGGTTTTTCATCATGATAATGCTAGACCTCGCGCATGTTTTGCCACTGAGTCAAAATTAAGAAATCCTAAGTGTTAGGTAAACATCATGCGAGGATTGCCAAAATTACTTGTCGCGGTTTTCTGATCAGAACTTCCAAAATTTCTATAGCAATGAGATCATGTCTCTACCTACAAGAAGGCAACATGGTACATACATAATTTAATTAAAGTTTTAAATACACTTGATTATTTTTTTTTTTTTTTTTTCATATAAAATGCGAAGGAACTTATCCCAATCTATCAATACTTTTTCCGTTCTCAATGTAAGTTAAAATAAAACTAAAATAAATTACATAATCAGTTTTATTTAATAAGTTCATACATATATATATATATAATTAGAGGTGGTCTAAACGAGTCTGTCCACAGAGCGAGCAGTTCATTGATGTGTAATGATAAAGTGCTTTATAGATAATTTTTGTTATTGCTTAATTACACAAAATTAATTTTCAACTATTTATTAATAAAACACCTGCATCTATATTATGTCACAAAATTGGTTATCATTACGAGTTTCTGAATCATCTAACATTTAAAGCAGAGGATATTTGTTTCGTCACTTTTTAACAATTAAATATGTCTACATGCATTAAATTGATTAAAAGGGTCGTAATTTTCTATGTTTATAAAAAAATAACAATAAATAGAACACTAACATGATTTGGATCAACTGATAAGGTAATACCGCCAGCGGTGCTCAAACGAACATGCCGTACCAATTTCTGCAAACTTACTATACATTTTTGTACAAAATGATAATTAATGCCACCATAATAAGCAATCTCTTTCGATACCTTATTAACTTCAAGGAGTTCGAGGTTACATAATGCGTATGTTATTTTATACTGACCCATACATTTTTACATATAATTTAATTTTATGTACATATTTAGTTTACTTATTACTAGCTGTGTCTGCATAAATTATACCCAATTTCATCCCCATATGATGTAGCTTCCCGTAGGTGAAGAATTTTTGAAATAGGTACAATAGTAATCGGAAGGTAATCAATGCAAATAAACCAATAAACAATAAAATCTTTCCTCTTTAATATTAGTATAGATATATTAGAAGCACAAAAATTGCTTATTAAGGTGACAATACTACAAACCAAGATTTCAAACATTACAGTGAGATATCACGAAGTTTACTATGGCAATTACAATATATTTTTCAACGTCAAATTATTTATATTAAAATGAATATTCAATCCAGAACTTCCCAATGAGATCAAGGCCCTGCGTCTTCAGATTTTCAAAGCTTCTCTTTAAAAATCCTATTTACCATTCTGTGTTATTATATCTATACAAGATTTATAATATCTAGGATAATATTAGGAATATCCACATCTTACACTATATAAACATTTCCACAACGCTCTTATTTACTACAGCGACTAAATGCCACCACGCACCTATCGTACCTCATAAAGCTATTTATTTGGAAGAATTTGGTGTCAATATTGAGATCGATAGGTGAACGCGATATTTACAAGGGATCAGTCAAATGTCACTGCACTGCCAACAACACAGTAGGCCAGCTTGAAATCCTTTAACATTCGTCAATTAATTTATGATGATCTCTCTGACGGGTCTTCTTGTTTAGATGGATCGAAACCTTCTTTTATATGTCCTCCAGTGCCTTTAGGATCTAAATCTGTCGCCCAGCTGAAGTGCATCAGGGCCAAATGGGTATTGCCTAATTTATTATGAACTTTTCCAAGTAAATAATATACTAATGACTCCCTTGGAGCTATATCTTTGAGATAATGTAGATCTGTTAGGGCTTCTTGAGGTCTTCCGGCTCGTAGAAGAACTGAAGCTCTGTGGAAACGACATAAAGGATTCTCAGTGTCTAAAGCGACGGCTCTTTCGAGAGTAGCGAGGGCTCGATCTGTTTTGTCTAAAGCTGCTTGTGCGAGCCCCAACTGACACCTCAGTACCCCAGAATGAGGATGGATGGTGAGCGCGCGACGAATATGCACTTCCGATTGTTTCCAACGTTCTTGACGTGCATAAACTGTTGCAATACCAAACCAAGCAACATAATTACGAGGGTCAATACTGACAGCCGTTCTAAAGCTTGCTAGTGCTTTGTCAGTCTCTTCTGCTACAGCATATTCATGTCCTAAAAGTGCATGAGCGTATGATGCATCGGGATCTATCTGTACAGCTCTTTTGAAAAACTTTAGAGCTGTTTCTCTTTCTTTGTGGAGGGAAAAGCAATTGCCAGCGGCTAGCCAAGCAATTGGATCAGTTCTGTTCAACTCTACTAGTTCTTGCGATAAAGCTGACAACTGAGCTTCTCTTTGGAGATGCCATAAACAGGTACTATAGATATCCATACCCTCTGTGCGGCAAGGATATTGTTTACGAATGTCTGCAAAAATCTTTGCTGCAGCCTCATATTGAGCTAGTTCATAGTGAGCACGAGCTATCATTGTTTGCACCCATGGTGAAACCAGTTGTTTAGATGGAACATCTTGAAATAACTTAATAGCATTTTTACAATCTAAGCCAGCTAATGATTTGTAAGCTTCGCCTAGTTCCTTCAATAAGCTTAATAATGCTACACCATTGGAATTCTTTGGTGTCATAGGTGTAACTGTTTCCATGCTTTTATTTCTGTCATTTGTTTCAACTGGATTGGTTTTCATATTTTTTGCAGTTCGCTGTTTATTCTTTCTTGATGGACTTTTAGGAGCTACAAATTTTCTGCTTGGAGATTTATTGTTTTCTTTTACGGAATAACTGCTATTGTTATTACTAAATAACCTAGATGATCGTCGAGGCGCTGGTCCTAGTGTACACCGAGGAGTTGGGCTAAACACTGCATCTTTCAGTTGACCCATCTGTGCCCTTAAAGAATTAACTATTTTGGGGATGGCTTTCTGTTCATTAGAATCAGTGAGTGTCGGAGTGTACAGTATGGGAGATTCTTCCATCGGTAACATGCCAAAAGATGGTGAAAATGGCACAGGAGCTATCCCACTGAAAACACTGTGCATTCGCTTCATAGGAGCCTGAGTCTCTGGAGTAATACTTGTGGACATTGTCATAGGCGTCCGAGTGGCTACATTATTTGGCGTGACGTTAGAATTCAAATTGGTATTATTAGGAATGTTAGTATTAACAAAGGAAATATTTTCCGAGTTGCTGACTAGATTTACTAATGTTGTTACACCAAATGAAAATTCAGTGTTCATCTGGAATACTTGGTTTGGATCTACTTTCTCTCCCATATTACATAATTGTGCAAATGATTTCCACATAAAAGGATTCAATGATAATGATTTTCTGTGCGCTTCAGCTGCTTTACTCCTCCTTTCAGTGATATTGTAAACTTTGGCGAGAAGTTGTAAAGCATATGGTGCTTGTTCTCCGAACTCTGAAGCAACAATGTCTAAATTTGATCCTAAAGCCACTTCCGCATCTTTGTACCTGGAAAAATAAAAACAAGTTAATCAATTTATTTCTATTTATTAGTTAATAGTTCTGCCTCCTTATTCTGTAACCTGGCAACTTCTGAAGACTATTCTAAATCTTCTAGTTCTAATCTCATATAAGGTTTTTACCTATGAAATTGCCGTTTTTCATGACATAAATGAAGTGTATCTTTTTTATATATTTTTTATTTCTATTAATCACCCATGCAATCAATGCATCTTTGCCAACGCATTGGTAGCTTATTGATGTCTTTCTAGAAGAAATCAGATGGACGGGAGGGAAGAAATTCTTCAAAGGCATTTTGTACTGGCTCTCAGGTATTGAATTTTTTTCCCACCAAGAAGTTATCCAAATTCTGGAAAAAGTAGAAGTTTGGTGGCGCAAGGTCTGGTGAGTACGGCGAATGACGGAGAACTTCCAACCCCAGCTCTTGTAGCTTGGAGACCGTCTGCAGTATGAGGTTTAGGGCATTGTTTGGGTGCTGAACCTGGGTCCAACCAACTTGCTGAGCTTACGCTTAGGATTGTCGAACAGGATTCATTTCTCGTGCGGTTAAGAATTTCTTCATTTGTATGCCTGTTGAGCAGTGCAAGGCACGTCTCGATGCGTACTTCGCGTTTGCGATCATTGAGTTTGTGGAGTATACATTGGTCAAGCTTTTTTACCTTGCCGATTTGACGCAAATAAACCATTATTGTTTGATTGCTGCTACTAATTCAGCTGTAGATTGAGTTTCATCAGCTTCCACTATCGCCTTTAATTTATCATTGTCAGCCAGTTTTCAGACGACCACAGGGTTCATTTTTCAGGTCAAAATTTCCAGAATGGAATCGAGCAAATCAATAACGTGTGGTGCGTTCGTTTGTAGTGTTTGCTCAGTTGCGTGCTGCCTTGCTGCCACTATGGTACTCATACTCCATAAACACATTTGCGAAATCTTGTCGGTTGTATGGCAATATTTCACAGGTTCTTTAACGCACTTTATTATTAGTCCTTGTCAATACTTTCGGTTTCGCAGTCAACTGCGAAAGCGTCGTTACATTACACAGATGTTTCGGCACAGGCTATCGGTATGTCATGAATTTTGTCTCTCAAAAGGTGACAACGCTGTTCACATTCACATAGTGTCACAGATGTTTTGCATTCGCATGCGATTGCAAACATGAATGCGTTGAAAATTCAACTATTAAACTATTGACAATTTTAGAAAAAAAAAAATCCATGTTATTGAATTTGTAATTAGAATTATCAGAAAAAAAAATATATTTAGATTTGAAATGGCCAGTACGGCACAACAGCAATTTCACAGGTAAAGACCTATTATTATAGTGATGAAATAATTTTATAATGTGATCAAGGTTAGAATCATAATAATTATGGATCAAAGTTAAATGTGTAACATCTGCAAAATTCAATCCTCAGAAATTAAACCTCCTGATGGTAAAATCATAGCAAACACACCTATATCATTGACATCACAACAAGCACCACCAAAATTCTGGTGTTTACAGTGCTTGTGGTAATTATTTAATCTGATTATGTTACTTAATTTTAGTTTTGGCTATTTTATTAAAGTTATATAATAAAACATGAATCTGGGAATATGTAAATTTTTTAAAACCTTTTTTAAGAAATCCTCAATATAAATATTAGTTTTTTAACATTCAATTATTAAAAGTCACAAAGTCAAATATAAAAAAAAACCTGATAATAGACTTACGATTTTAAGTCTATTGAACATTTGGCTAGCAGGAACCGAGATTGTGGTAGGGACAGTGATGTGTTCTGTAGCAAATGATGAGCCTCATTTACTCGACCAGCTCTATAATAACAAGTTCCCAACAAATATGCAGTTTCTTCTGATGCCACTGTAAAACCAACAAATAATATAAAATTTTGGAGAATGATATACTAATTGTTTCACTTTATACTGGGCAAAAATCGATAAATAATACAAGAATATAGAGCAACATCACAAGCTTCTGAGGGTAATAAAAAGAACAAAAGTAATTTACCTTCGGCATGTAATCGCTCAGCCAGAAATATAGCATTGTCGTATTCATAATTATTGAGACAATCCCAAACAATTACCTGTTGAAGATTCAAAAGGTTAGTAATCCTGATATTTCTGATGCAAATACTGGGTTGACAGTTCCCAAAGGCCATCGTCGTAATCTTACCTGTATGGGTTCTTGGACAATCATTTTAATAATAGTGAAGCTTATATGTGATTTTATGCGATAAAGATACTTCACATCTCATGCTACAATTACATTTACAATAACTTCACAAGCAAAATCAAATTAGATTTTTTACGACGGACATTTTCATTTTCAGTTTGTTGATTGTCTATGGATGGAGGACGCAAATATGTTACGAAAACAGACCAAATAAATTAGTATTGATAGACTAAAATAATATAGAGGAACAAGCTTATTTACGCCGTTAGCACATCGACGTAATCGCATGCGAATGCGAAAGATTTGCGAAATCTTGTAGGTTGTATGGCAATATTTCGCAGGTTCTTTATCGCGCTCTATTATTAGTCCTTGTCAATACTTTCGGTTTCGCAGTCAACTGCGAAAGCGTTGTTACATTACACAGATGTTTCGGCATAGGCTATCGGTATGTCACGAATTTTGTCTCTCAAAAGGTGACAACGCTGTTCACATTCACATAGTGGCGCAGATGTTTTGCATTCTCATGCGATTGCATCGTTGTTCTAATGGAGTTAAATCTATTGAATTTTAAGACTATCGTTCATGCGTTTGTGTTCTATTTAGGCGAGTTATCATCGTCTTTTTCTGTCCCAATAACGTTTTGTCCATACTACGAAGCGTAACGTGGTTACGATGAATATCGTGTGGGCGAACTCAATAAATAAAATATACATATAAACTTCTTGGGTAAACCCTAGAAAATTGATTTGTTTGGGTATAGACAAAAGGTTCTTGAGTTCCTCATGCTTACGTGCAATTTCAAATCGTTTGATTATTTTAATATTATTATAATCCTCGCAAATTGCTAATGCACTTGGCCGCCATTTTAATGACGTAATTGTATCAAAACTCAGTACCGTTAACTTAAAAACACTGCTTAACGAACGAGTTTACTTAATGAGCTTGGTTGTGTTGAGATCATATAATATAATATTTGTTGGTTTCGATTATGGTTAAATTTTGTTGTTACTTATTATGGTTGGCTAAAATAGTAAATGGTATTACGATTTTCACTATAACTAAACGTAATTTCACTTATATTATATATGTTAAAAAAAATGTCTTTTCCGTTTGTTATCGCGTGCTAACATGTTAATTTTTGCATCAAAACATATAAATTGATTTTTTTTTTCAAAATTCATGTATTAAATTAAAAAAGTGTAATTAAAACAATAGAAGAAATCTTTTAGCAATTAATCATAAGTATTTCAATAATACATATATAATTTATCTCTTGCACTTTGTGCTATCTATACTTTCAATTTTCATATGAAGTCACGCGGGTGTTATTTAGACAAGGTTCCAGCGCATTAGCGATTTTCGGGACTTGGTTTATCTTGAATATCTTACTTTGAATATGTTTGTCTTCTACAGGTACCTATATATACATAGCATTTATTATTAAAATTATTTATATTTAATAAGTAATGATGATTAGAGTGAATAAAGTTTATATTACATTCATGTGTTTATGCCGAGCGTGCTGAGCGTGTGTGTGTGTGAAGAATAATATTTTGGTTACGTTTTATTTTATTTACAAAAAATATACTACGCCTATCATATACGGCTTTAAATACTCGCACAGCTGACACCCGCCATCCTCGTCTAACAAAAGCGCTGCGCGCTAACTCTCTTTCTCTTTATCACGGACACCTCGAGTCTTTAACAGCTAGCAACTTTAATTTGCGGCCATTTGTTCACAGGCAGCGTTATATCGTCATATTAAAAAAAAATTAGCTTTAATTTGATATAAAAAACATGCGTATACGTTATGAACGTATAAATACACCAAAATATTACCTGTTTACACCTGGCTGCAACGTATTACGGCTGATTGTACAACGGCACCTATCGATTTTGAAATTCTTTACGTATATTGCTATGATGTGGATGATATTTTATTTAAAAAACATATGAACGAATATTTTTTTTGGAAAATTAATTAACATTAATTTAATTAAAATTACTTGCGGCCACTTATTGACTGGCAGATTGTTATCAATGTATTCTCCTATTCATAAATGTATGTAAAAATGTGAGTTTTGTCTAACTACGCTTAACGTAGTGATTTTGCAGTGGGATCTCGTACTATTAGATCTTGCAGTCATCTTTAAATTTTAATGGTCGTTTGTGTGACTGGGTGTGAACACAGTGTGAATGATTTTTTATATTGCTAGTGTTGCTATCTATGGCCTAAAAAGTTCATTAAATAACCTTCTTTCATACTTTGTCTATGTCTTAAAACCGTCAGACACAACATTGTTCTAAAATAGTTTGGTCTGTGATCGTCATAAATTCGCGTTTTATTGGTGAAGTGCGAAGTGAATTATTTACAGGAAATTAATAGAAAATAAATGTAGTTTTTCTAATTGTTTGTTTTTAATGTACCTAGCAGCATTGTATTTACAATTGACTAAAGAAAATCTGTTAAACAGTGTATGTGGATGTGCAACTAAAACAATATGTGCTATGTGTTGGTGTTGATTACGAATGACATCTGGTAACGAAAGAAAGACAGTAACTCTATACGTTTACGTTTTCTATCAAGGTAATTATTTTATGATTGACATTATTATACACTATTCGGATTATTATGGAGATAATGATTTTTCATACATCGCTAACAATAGGGATCGCCATTCACTAAGGTAGGTACCCCAACAAGAACAAGAAAACGTCAAGACGTGTGACCTCCAATTTATTTCTTCCGTGAGTTGTCATGTTTGAATATATTTCTCGGTAAACATAGAAAGCTGAAGTAATTATTTACATTCCAAGCAATAACTGTCCCAGTTAACATGTAGGTGAATTGAAATGCTGATTGAGCATCATAATTACAATCAATGTACCCTGTAATAAACATTTAGAAACTGATTATTTAGTATTGGTGTACTGTAAGGCTTATAGCAAATCTATCTCAGCTGAAGGTGGCAAAGACACAGAATTTCCTGTACACTTTACAAATGAATAACTGGTGAAATTAGAATTCTGGTGATTTGGCTCATATTGGCGTGTGTAGGTTTATATTCATACAAATAATTCTAAAATTTGTTTTCATGAGGATTAATGCATTTGCATCATTAAATCAAGATAAAATGTTGGTCTACAAATATGGCACATTATAAATTTCTAATATAATATTCCACATAATAAAGTATACTGTAACACCTAAAATGCTTGCATACCAATTATTGTTAATCAGATACTATATTATCATGAGATAAAACTATTATTGTTGTATTTAAGAAATAAATTTTTTTCTTTGATCATTTGAGAAATAAAGGCTAATGTAAACAGACTGATATGATGCATTATTCCAAGGAATGGTTTTTAATCAATCTATTATTACTAGAGATGCGCTGTTTTCATTGTGGTTTCATTGAATAACAAAATACTGAAAACTGTTTAACTGACAAAATATGGTTTAACTTTTACCAGATCAGATATTACGCCAAATTAGTAAATAAGCTTAAAAACAACTTTTGAAGTTTAATTGTTACATTTAATTCATTTTAATGAACATATTCTTAGTAGGACTTCTTTGATTTATAATGTAACAAAAATCTTAGGTAAGAAGTTTTGTCTTTTCGTACTACACCATGTTGTGTAGCCAAGAAAATAGAAAAACTCGAACTTAAGATATTCAGCATAAACTGAATAATTAGGCTAAATACAAATAGTGGAAAGGATGCTGAATACAATATATACATACCTATTCTGTGCATCTCTAATTATTACTAATTTGCTGATGTCCCCTTTTAACAGGTATACAAGTTTTGATTTTAAGTTTTATATTGAAAGATAGTAGTCGTCTATAATATTATAGAAATAAAAAAAGTTATGTAGATTCTCTAGAGATACAAGGAGTGAAGGGTAGTTGATTCCATCTTCTGCTTATGTACCACACTAGTCAGTAATGACAACTTGAACTTAACTTTCAACACATTAAGGTCTATACTCTAGATAGTAGCGAAATGTCAACCCTGTCTTAGAATAAAAAATAATTATATCCTCCCAATATTATAAATATGAAAGTTTCTTTGTTTGGATGTTTGTCCGTCAATCACGCTGAAACTACTGAATGGACTTTGATGAAATTTGGTATACAGATAGGTTATTAGGTGACTTAGATAAAAGGATACTTTTTATCCCTCTAAACATTTCCCTTGGGACCATGCAGGTGAATAAATAATACTCAATCACTAGAGTTTATCATGGGTATATTGAATCAACACCATTGTTGTATAAAATATCATTATATACTTAATTTTAATAAGAACATATAATTATAAATGTTATGTCCTTATCGCATCCAAAAGGAATCAGGCATGTGTTTGCTTGATAGCAGCTACAAGAATAATTCTGAATAGCCAGAATTTGCAAGCATGCATATGACCTGATAGTGATTGATTGATTAATAGTGCACTATATGAATCATTGTCATTACCCAGAATTTGCAAGCATGCGTATGACTAGATAGCGCGTTACATGAATCATTCTGCTTGACCAGAATTTGCAAGCACGCTTGGACCCGATAGAGCGCTACATGAATTATTCCGATTGGCTAGAATTTTCAAGCATGCGTAGACCCGATAGCGCACTACATGAATTACTCTAATTGGCTAGAATTTGCAAACACGCGTATGACCCGATAGCGCGATACGTTCATTATTCTGATCGGCTAGAATTTGCATGGACACGTATGGTCCCATAGCTCGCTACATGAATCGTTCTGATTGGCCATGATTGGCCACAATTTGCGAGTATGCCTATAGCCTGATAGTGGGTTAGGAACTTCATTCTGAATGGCCAGAATTAAGACGATCTTCTTTAATTTCATTGGCATCGGATTGAATCAAATGCACTTTAATACGATTAGAGACATCATAAGCTGCGTATCATTCGGTCAACAAGTTGATATAAATCCACAATCTTGTACGCGCTTACGCGGTAAGCCCAATTGTTTCAACGTTGAATGCTTTTGATTCAATCCGATTCCAATCGAATCTAAGCCGAACACGTTATGTACTGTTCAACATACTTTTGTAATGTTTGATACTTCTTTTAATATATTTAGAGGCTTTTATTCCCGTGACGAAAACTTCAATAGCCCATCAAACGTCAAAGGTCAATAAACTTTTTTGCACCGTTCACTGTCACGAGCTCACGCAAATAATGTTTTGATACAGGATGAATGCGACGGAAACAGTGACCGTGACGGACACCCAGCCGCTCAGCGAGGTTGTTCACAAAATGTTCGAACGGCCCCAGGAGCCGTTCCTGCAAACTCTAGCTGCCCAAGTCATCGCGGGAATATTCGTGTGGACAGCGTTATTCATCACTTGCCAACAGGTAAGTTCTAGGAAATACACCTAAGTAATGAGTTTCAATATAATCCAAAGTTGCCTATCAGCGTTTTATATATTGTTGGTAGCTGGATCGCTACTTACCTTTAGAATAGCTGCCCGTATGTTATGTATGTATGTCTGAAGCATTTTTAATATATGTTTGTCTGAGGCAATATTAAAAGAAAATCAATGACTTATATGGCAAACTTTACATTACGGAGAAAGTTATATTATTCATGTTGTGTTGTCATCACCAGCCATTTTTGATCTCTATATTTCGGATATTTAATAACAATTTGCGTCTATATTTTAAACGGTTCGAATATTTTTTAGGTGAGATATTCTTAAATATTAACTATTATTTATAATCTCTTTCAGACAATCTAGATAATTACGATTATACTACATAAAACACAATACAAATTAACATAATTTATCTATAGTACCATGAGCGTCACGTGTTGAGTTTTATTTGTTCTTCTAATTTGGGAACCAACGTTTTGAATCCCAAAAGGTCTTTTCAACTAGCTGTTACCTCGCGACTTTGGTATTCCCCTAAATTATAGACTATGTCAATCCCGTAGGTGAAAAAATTTGTAAAATCCGTCCGATGCAAACAAACAAACAATCAAATCTTTCCACTTTATAATATTAGTATAGATTTAATAAATCTTAATCAAAAATAATAACGTGTTATTTTAAATTTTCATTTGGCCTTCATAATTCGCAGTAGGCCTATATGACCATGGGAAAATAGTTCAAATGAAAGGTCGTCCGCGAAACTACTTAGTTATCTTGATTATATTGTTCCATATAACATTTTTATTTTGTTTCAACTTCATAGAACAGAATATTGTTCAAAAAGCACACTTGATGCCTTTAAGTGATCTATATCAGTCACTTTGATGAATAAATTACAGCGTATAATATTTATATTTAATTCCTCTTATTATTTATGCGGCTTTTGTTATCCCCATTTATTTTCATCCATAATGTCAATGCAGACCAAGCGGAAAAATGTCTGAGACCCTTTATAATATTGAAATATCAAGCTTATTCTACTCGATAGGTCTGAAAAAAATATTCCGTAACGAGAGTTATAAGAGGCTTAAATTGTTCATATTTTAATTTGCTTTAAATAGGCACTTTGTGAATGTTGTATGATGTCCAATATTTTATTAGATGTTTATATTGTGATTCGTGCTAATTGCTATTGATTGTGATATGCGTCAGCATTTATTGATGGAGTTTCCTTTTCTGTGTTGAACATTTATATTAAATTGTATTATTTGTCCCGTATTTACAGATTACGCGATACTAGTGTTATGATCGTAATAAAATACTTTATGTAAACTAATAGCTTTGTGGGAAACGCCTTTTACGTGGCTGTATTAACGGGAACAAGAATTTTATACGAAGACGAAACATGTGTGTATTTTTTTTTTATTTAAGCATAACGAGATTGATTTTATTTGTAAAACAATAAGACGACATTGACTTTAAAAAGAAGATATTAAACCTTCTTATAATCCTACTAATATTATGAAGGCGAGAGTTAGGTTTAGACGTTTGTATGTTTCTAACTCCTTCACGCAAAAACTACTGAATGGACTTTGATGAAATTTGGTAATATGAAGTTCTTAGTCAGGATTAACGTAAAGGCTTCCTCTTTATTCCATTAAAAATAGAAAAAAAAAATTCATAAAATTTAGAAAAACAAAAAAAAAAGTGCAATATCCAAGCAAAGCAAAAAATCCAAGAAAAAAAATTTAATACCTATTCTTATTATTATATTTTATCCAATTCGCATTCACAATGCTATATTGAAAAATATTCTTAATGAAAAATGCTTAAAAAAATCCACTCGGTCCATATCCTTGGAACAGAGAAGACTTTGGAGTGTTGGCCTCACACAGAAAAACTAGTAATAAATACCTACTCATTACAAAGTATATTACTTTATGTACTGTGATGTGTTATAAATTGCTGCTCACTGTTGAGAATACTCTTTGTTGATGTAAATATTTTTATTGTTTTGAAATAACTGTTAAAAAATTTATTGTGTAGAAATATTGTTGGCATTATTAATCAGTGTTTTGACGCGTTTATAAAAATGTATGGTGAGTAATGAAGTATACGTTTCAATTTAACTTCAAATTTCAATTAGAACTTTTATGTACAAAATACATATGAGTGTCGCACTTGTTTAATATGTCCAGAGGTTTAAAATCAAGTATCGATCAAACCGTTTCCCAAGCCGAAATTTCCTCGTTATATTTTACCGAGGTGTTGCCAGAGAAAAAAATATTTATGTGTTACTATTGAGCTAGCGATTTTTAGGGCCAGGCTGATGGTTTTTGACAGTATAGAATACCATAACGTCTAACCTTACACTAATGAGACAATTTTGGGGGCCAATTCAAGTATTGTCTATTGGACAAAGTAAATGTTGATAATGCGACTTCTTTTTAATTAACGCACTTTGAAGTGTTACTTATTTTCTAATAAAACTACAATATGTATATATTTAGTTATATGTAAGAAGGTTAATTATTTTATTCTGCTTGCCTGCTCGTCTCGAAAACAGCTGACTTTATAGTAGACTCAAGGCGCTAAAACAAATTTTCACCCAAGTTTTAGCGAGGGTATAAATAGAAACCGAGTTATAATAGTTTTTAGCGCCGTGTGTTTCGATTTTGAAAATATAAAATAATAAATTATTCTCATCAATTAAATTTGTGATTACATCTAATTGACTACCTACACATTAGACAACATTTTTATACATTGAGTCGGCGCCATATTAGAATGTGATAAAATATATATTTTTTAAATACCATTTCATAAATAGTCCTTCTAAATATATTAATATATTCGTACTCGACTAATCTAAAAATAACAATGATGATATCCTTCGTATTATTATCAATACGATGTAAATTATGTTTTTTTTTAATTTATTTTTTTATTGTTAATATAAAAATCACATTTTCAGTCTTGGCAGTCATTGCTCAGTCTTGGAGGCATTTAGCGATTTTATTACATATTTACAAAATCAAAAAGCAATAGGATATAATTCCTTTACATATTCGCAAAGCTTGTTTTTCTTTTAATACTTACTTATGATGAGACCACCTCTTTATAGATAGCATTATACGAGTCGTACTTTTCCGGTTTTTATCTGGAGTTTCCACATTCGCTCGTCGTATAGAAAGTGCACTTGTAATTTTCTTTCCGTCACTTGATCAATAAGCGTTTAATAAGTGCTCGACGTTGTTAATTAATCGATGGACGTGATAAACACACTTTCGAGTGCTAAAAACTTATGTTGATATTAGTTTGCGTGCTAAACAGACCGAAGAAGTCATGTATTTTCGTTTTTTTATTATTAAATAAAATTTTACTTTCGGTCGTTTATAGACTTCTACCCTTTCTACGCTATATAATAATAGCCTCTTTTGCCGCGATTTCGCACTCGTAAATTATAGCCATTTTTTTACGCTAGGAAATGCTTTACGCGTACTAACTTCACCTAGCGATGTCCCTCTCTATGCAAGTGGTGCATGGTATGAGTCCTTAAGTCCTGATGGAACCATACCCCGCGCAGTCCGCCCACGTTTCGGTCCACGACGTTTTCGTTTCGGGTCCTAATCCGTGATGGGAGCCCCCCGATAGCCCCGGTTACCATCGATGTCTAGCCTAACAAAAGCCAGTCCGGTCATCGGTTCACTGTCCCTTAGTCGCAAACCCGGTCGCCAGCAGCAGCGGGACCCCAGCGACATCGCGATCAAAGAGCGAGATGGAAAACTCCCTCTTCTACTTGCGTAGCACGACTCCTCAGTTGCGACGATTGAATGCTATTTAGGAGGTATTATTTTAAGTACCTAGTATTGATGTACAGCTAATTTCAGCTACTTATCCGAGCATGATTTAAAAGAGCACTTAAAAAAGTTATAAATAATTTTCATCGTTGAGCTTTTTATAACTCGTTTTTATACTATAGTTTATTATATTAAGAAAAGCAATTTGAAGTAAGAGTTTGCATCATTTTACGACATAATCAACTATTATGACAAGAAATGACCAGAAACAAAAGAAAACTTTAAAATGAATTTTACATCAAAGTCTGTCTCTTGGTTTTCCATTCATTGATGAAAACCATATGAAATTCGTCTGGTAGTTTTCAAGATCATCGCGCTTGTAATAAACAATTTAATTTAAGTTGAAATAGTAAATGTTATTCATATATTTTTTTCATTTTTATGGATACATAACGTTTCTGCTCTGAATATTTTCTTCATCCAATGATGTAAAATAAACAGTTAATGGTTTAGAAATATATTTACGATGCAATAACAAGGTGTGTCGAGCTGTGGGTAGTCCGATAAGGAGGACGCGCGTTACATTTTTTTTTTCTGGAATTAATCAAATGATGTCAATGTTTACAATATAACACAGACATTGTAATATAATATATAACACACACAGGTTTATGGTAAAGAATGGGGAGGTAATCCACTAGGGGTAGACCCACAGAACACAAATTAGTAGGGGTTTGCCCGAAAGAAAATGCGTTATTCGGGTGGGTATACGGATATGCAGGATTATTCCCCCCTAGCGGACCTACTTAGTGGTGATTTCACTGAGCAGCTCAAAGGACTAAGGCCTACCCACTAAAAACCCTTGAAATATTCTTGGTTGCGAGCGGCAACCGTGAGTCTTTGGTGACCTAAGGGCGATTAGATGGATGCCTCCAAATGGATAGGTCCGGGTGGAAGATTGTTTAATTGCGCTCACCTCGCAAGGTTTGCGCGATTACCGAGAATTGCACGTTCTCATCCTGACTAGTTGGTAAGGTTTAAGTGTTCCTGAATCATGTTCCTGACCTGCAGAGGGATTTTATATTAATAACCAAGTAATGTATAATCCGCTCAAAATAATGAGCATGGGTCGTTTTTATGAAATCTAGCTGAAATTAACGATGTTTTTCGCAAGATGTTGTGT